TTTCCAAACTTTATATTGTCCTGGCTGAACAATCAAGGTTCAATAGAGTTAGGATTACTGAAATCCAAAAATATTTTTTTGTGAAATAGCCCCTGAACTTCAGTCCTGATRATAAAATCAACAAAATCAAACTCAGGAGTAAACACATGAATAAAAGAGTAACAGGAAGTAAAGTGACATGGAAATCAGTTCTATACAATATTAGTAATTTGTATTATTTATAGTTCCAAAAATCACTTTTTGATGTATAAAACAGTAGAAGAACTGTATGAACATATGATATAACAAAAGTCATTTCCTTAAATTAAATTCAAGGTTTTTAGTTTATTTCGTTTTGTATTCTGACTTGTTGTCCTTCCTCGGTTCAACCACTTAGTTTTAGTTCTCTTTTATTCCTTGCTTATGTGCACCATCACACCAGAGTAAATTCCTACTCTGTAACTCCTTTACTGACAATGGCAATAAAGTGTTTCTGATTCTGATTTGATTCTTTGTATTAATGTGAGATGCTTCTGTCTTCCAGCAGGTGGCAGTATTGTTGCACATTTGACAAACAGTCGCATCCTTTATAACTTACCCTAAAAAAGTGTTTCATCATATTATATTATATTATACACTATATGTTTTTGTATTGTACAGCAAAACCATCACTGCTGTACTTGAAGATTGTTTGAACAATTTACCCTCTTGTTTAAAGAATCCTGTAAATTAAGAGGATTTCATGTGAGATGTATCAACACTAAAATTACAGAGAAAGTAAGTTGTTCAGTTTTAGGGTTTTTCATTTCAGCATGTAATAGAAATAATCTAGTCTTGATTAAGCCCTGTGATGGACTTGCGACCTGTCCAGGGTGTACCCCGCCCCTCGATCTGTGACTGCTGGATATGGGCACCAGTGACCCACGCGACCCTGAAAAGGAAGAAGCGTGTACAGAAAATGGATGGATGGATGGATGGATGGATAGTCTTGATTAAATCTTAAAATAATTTAAACTGTGCACAAAAAACAGCAGATTTCACATTGTCATTCTTTAATAAACAAAAACAAAGGTAAAATAGATGCTGATCTATAACCCATCAGTTTATAAAACTGCCTTTAGCAGCAACAACGCTTAGTTGCTGTTTTATTTAGGACATCAGCAGTGTTTGTGGAGCAGTTTTGTCCCACTCTTCTTAACAAGTTCCTTCAACACATTGAGGTTTGGAGACATTTGTTTCTGCACAGCTCTTCCAACATACTGTGGCTCTTCAGTCAGGTCAAGGTCTGGACTTTGACTGCATTGTTGCAGCACTTTGATTCTTTTTTATTTCCTGTCATTCTGTTGTAGATTAATTGCAGTGTTTGGGATCGTTGTCCTGTTGCATCATGGTCCAGTTTGGTCCAAACTTCAGCTGTCGGACAGATGAGCTCACATTTTATTCTAGGATACTCTGATATACAGAAAATTTCACAATGTGACACATATAACTACAAAACAAACCACCAGGCCTCCTTCTTCACCATGTTGCTATAACACGTTTGTGCTAATAAGCTGGTTTTCATTAAACATGGTGCATTATGGGTAATCATTTCAGCGCCTGTCTCACTTGTCCAAAGACTTGCTGCCATTTTATTTTCAGAGAGCAGAGGTTCTCTGTTGCCAACTCAGTTTTAAAAAGTCMTACCTGTTTAGTTTTCTGCCATGAACTTTAACCTTCAGCCTTCCAACTAAAGCTTCTGGGGTTTGTGGTGTTGTTCTTATTTTTTTGTTACTTCTTAGAGTTTAGCATGGTCTGACCTTGGGGTGAATTTGCATCAACATGGACTCCTATAGGGAGATAGGTAGCTGTCTTAATGGYGCAGTTGGRAGTTTTGAAAARAGAAAATGTGGACTTRGCCTGAAAATTTGAACAAGCACAACTTACAGGTCAGCCCCTTCTCTGCTGCGCTACAGCTCTCCCTCCACAGCGGAGCCTTCTGTGAACACTTTTCTCTATTCTTGGTTACTGAACTATWACCTGTTCATCATGCTTGAGATTGAACAATGGTACGTGCATGATTGACACTGGTAAGACAATCCTTCTGTCTCTTATTGGTTGTTTCTGACCAGGAGAGGTGCATTTCTGCAAGTGGMARTAGGACCACTGGGCGGAGCCAGAGGAGCTTTATTTTTTTCACAGATGATCTATCTCATATTCTACWGTCACAGCATAGTTACAGTTTTAATAAATGTTTAATTTTTTACAAAAGATACCTGCAGCTTTAAATGTTTTTTAATCTTTCTTACTGTAAACAGGTGGACTTGGAAATGACTTTTATCCTTCTCAGATTGTTTTATTAAGGCCATTGCTGACGTCCTTCCACCTTGACACGGTGTAAACACACTTGAATGGGCCAGAGCAGCTCATATGATGATCAGTTCATCAACACATTTGATCAGAAGCACTCGGCTGCAGAAACAGTAAAAAATGTTTTTAATTTTTCCACAAACAGCTTTTCCAGTTTTAGTTTAAGTTTGATGAATAAACACTAACATGGAATCTGTTCTGTTGTTCCGTACACTTGAGCTGAATAATTTTAATCTTTTTGTTATGTCTTGAAACTGTACTTTTATTTTCATTAATAACTGAACCTCTTCCTCCACACATGAGCACATTTAACATATGCTGTCCTAAAATTCAACTTATGTGGGTTTTGTTGTTTAGGTTGTATATGAAAAACATTAAAAACCTGCACTGTTCTGTCTGCCAACCTCCCAAATCCTGTTTTGAAGCTTTGGATGAAAAGTAAAACACAGATGAAGACATTTGATCACCTGCTTAAAAGTTTGTGTCCAAATAGATTAAACCTTTTTTAATTGTAAACACTAACCAGTGTGAACCTGACAAACTGTCACACCCTGATAAACCCTCCTGAAGCTGCTTTCAAATATTTGCACAATCTTTGTTTGACTTATTGAGCTGACAGCGGCTTGAATCAAACATAATATTCATGATCAACTTTATGTTTGCCTGAAGGATGAGGCTTAGTGTTTTTAGACTCCTTCCCCCAATAATTAAAATAACAAAACAACAATAATAATCCATGTTTCAGTGTTAATTAAATTGTAAATAAAAAGATTCTGTGTTGTTAGATAATACCATCTCTGCTTCCAAATTGCAAAAATGTCGGATCAGGATGAAGTGGACAATAATCATTGGGAGTGAGACCTGGAAGGGGGCGTGGTGATGTGCCTCATTTGCATTTAAAGAGACAGTATCAAAATGAGTTGCTCTCTCAGAACAGGGGGGAAGAAGGGCTTGTGGAGCTACAATAAGGCGGAATTCAGGCCAAAGCATGACAGTTCAGCTTTATATAAACCATAAGAGAATGATTTAAACGTGAAAAGAAGGATTTAAAAGCATGTGTCTCCTTCAACATGGTTCATGAAATACTTTGCTAACAGACAACTACACACACACAAACACAGTTACATGACTGCCCACCTTCCATGTTAGTGAGTTGTTATCAAAACACACTCTGATTTTAGTAAGTCTTGTATTTTATTGTTGCTTCATAATAACAGTCATAAATTCTCTCAGATTATATTAGATCAGTTTGACAAAGAGTACCATTACAGGAAAACATTAAACACACACACACACACACACACACACACACACACACACACACACACACACACACACACACACTGACAGCAGTGCTTCTAATTCCCTTCTATTCTAAACTTTGAGCAATGTGTTGGCTGTAGTGTTGCACAGATTGAATTGGCGTATTGTAAAAAAATAAATAAAAATAAACAGGAACAGTAAAATGTCCTCAGCGATGTGATGGACGGCGACAGTGATGGCTGCTGGAGGTAATACAGCACATGCAGAAATATTGGAACCTTGTGTTAATTTACAAATTAAAACCTTCCCGGAAAGCTGGAGAGCAAGTAATGTACTTTTTTTCTTTACAAATAACTGAAATGCACCTTTTCATGTGAAAAATATACAATTATAAACAGAAATTTATGTCTGTAGAATATTTTAGCCATTTGTGGGATTTTTTAAAATAATGATTAAAAAACAGAGGTGCATTAAAATATTATTGTTAGCTGGCAGAGGATTGTTTTTGGATGCAAACCTTTATTTTAATGATATTTTTCTTGGATCGTTTTAAACATGGATTGGATCATCAGAATATGCCGACTTTATAATCTTCAGTATTTTGATTTTTTTTTACTTAAAATTTAAAAGTTGGTTGGTTTAAAGAACTGACGTTTCTGAAACAGGTCTTAATAAAAACATGGAATATGAGGGTTCAAAACTGTGTTTTTGTTGGTCGTGTGTGTGTGTGTGTGTGTGTGTGTGTGTGTGTGTGTGTGTGTGTGTGTGTGTGTGTGTGTGTTGTGTGGTGGAGGGAGGTTCATGCTGACTAAGTGGGTTGATTGTAAAGCCTGCAGAAAACACACACAGATCCTTATCACACAAACAGAATGTTCTAACAAACAACAAGAGGGGGAGAGTGAAGCAGTACAAAAAAAGATAACCACAACTACACCTACACACACACACACACACACATGCACACACACACACACACACACACACACACACACACACACACACACACACACACTAGAAGAGTCTGCAGTGAAGGGTCTTTGTCCACCTTCTGTCTGCAGCTGATTCACAAACATCAGTTTCTCTTCTTCGTGTTTCCTCTCCTCACCTCTGTTTTCTTCTCTCCTGAAACAGAAAACATGGAGCAGACTGAAAGAAAATAATATATTTCTCATTTTAAAAAGAATCCATGTGGAGGTCTCATCCAGCCAACATTGAGATGCGAAACAGTGAGACTCTTTGCAGAGAAAAGTGTTTTTCATTTTGTTTGAAGAGAAGACGGCAGCTTTTCAGGATGGTGTTCACCTATGGCTTCGTCTTTGCTTGATAGAGCTTTAACCTGCATTTGTGGATCGTACAGCAAAGTGTGCTGACAGACAATAATATGTGGAAATGTTCTTGAACCCGTGCATTGAGGTCCATAACCGAATCAGGCCCGTTTTTAATGTTTTTAATTAAACAAGTCGAACATTACAACACATCTGGATTTGCAGGATGGAAATGCCAACAATAATAAGATACAGCAGACAGGCCGATGATGTCAGGAACTTATCTGCAAAACTTATTAGTTATGATTGTTTAAGATTACCTTGAACTCCTGCAATGTGTCCACCTTCTGACTTTGTTCATGTTTTCACAAAATAAAATCACATTTGCTTTGTCAGCTTCACTTAAAATAAAAAGTAAAAAAAACAAAAAGTTTCTGGTTGTGAAACATCTACTTCACATGCATCAAACTCAAGGCCCATGGGCCAAATGAGACCCACCACAGCATTTTTTGTGACCTGCGAGAGCTTTAAAGATGTATTGTCTTAAGGATCCACGATTACTTATTACATTACATATCATTTGATAAATATTTACTTGAACTAAAACAAAGACTGTAAAAATACTGTAGGCTGTTTAGTTTTTATAAATCAAAAAAGTTATATTGCCACATGGATGAAGTTATTTTATTAACACCACAAATTATACCACATAAATGATGACATTTACTAGGCTTTCCGGTGCATGAGCACCAAAGCTAATATTGTTAGCATACTGTATGCATAAATATGTATTAGCATGGCGCTAACGCAAAAGCTAACAGGCTAAACTCAGGTTCTCCAATCCGTGAAGCAGCTTTGTTGTCCTCCATCCAATCCAAATTTTCAGCTGCAAGCTGAGTCGTTTCTACATTCTCAGTTTATCTGATAATATCTGATGTTACAAGTAATTAAGGATCCCTTTAAAATAAATTCATGCACCTTTAAAGCCAGAATTTACTATAAACTACATCTCCCATAATGCATGTTGTTCTTTCCCCACAAAATGATGGCATACCACCAGTTGGTGGAGGTGCAGAGTGAAAACGTAGCAGGCAATCTGCAAAATTTGCTGGCTGCATATTCGCCAGCCACTTCAGTGTTTATGGGAATATACTAAAACACTGTTTCTGTGCAGGAAATATCACATAGAGCTCAGTTATTTTTTTAGCAGTGCCCAGCTGTAGCAACAAGACAAGGAACATGACCTTTTGTGTTTAAGCTGTGAGTGAGCATTTACGTAACATTATTTCTCGTTTATGTTCTGCTGCTTCAGAATGATATTTTATGTAGGAACATGTTGCTTTCAGCGTGTCTCTTCTGTTTGTTTTTATTACATTCACACTGGTAGCCTGTAGCTCTAGTTTTTTTGTGTGTACTTCAGAAGACAGAGGTAAAAATGTGCTTTAAAATATGTAGAATTTGACACATTAGAAAAAAATCAGCCCTGTCCTCAGCTGGATTTGAGCTGGGATCACATCAATATCTGTTTTCACCCAACAATAGTCCTCTTTGTTGTTCCTTTCCTTTTTTTTGCTCCTTTTTCCTCCTTCTTTTCCACCTCTCTGGTATTCCCACCTCCTGTTATCACAGAGCCCCTCTAACTTCACCTCTTTTCTAGTTTTCCACTTAAATCCTTTAGTTACCCTCGTGTTGCTGTACCTTGAATATGAGATGAGTGGAAGGTAATTCGGATGTTTTGAAGCAAAACATAACTTCTGTACTGCTCAAATGGAATCTCCCATCCAATAGGATTAACATGACAGCAATAAACAAGTAAAACAATGTCCCCAAATGTGACTTTTTCCAGCAAAGTCTTCGCCAGGTCATTTGCACAGTTTGCACTATCGTGTACTTGACTTTAAAAAAGCTGGACTGTTGGAAAATGTCTGATGTTTTCTGTATACTGCCTTTGTCACCCTCTCTGAGTTCAGCCCGTCCTGCCGCAGTGCTCCTGAGTTAAATTTGGTCCACTTTCATTCACCGTAACGCGTTATATAGGCCCATCCCAGATTAGTAAGTGAACTGGGTTAGCTCTGTCAGGGCCTGTTTTAATTTCAGAGGACCTGAAAGCCTCGGGGACTGTGTGGCTGCTTCTATTAGAAAGTTGTCCCTCGTGAGAAAATGTGCTGAATAAACGAATAACACATGAACAATGAGTGACACAAGCTCTGGTTAGAATTAATTCCTACATAGATACAGTTTTTAAGGTAAGGTATTTGCAGCAGCCGTGGACAGAGCTGAACTCTCCGTAACACTCGTACCTTCTATATTTAAATGTGTAAGTGCCACAGTTTGTCTGAGATGACAGAGGTTCAGTGAAAGTCACTGGAAGGCAGCGCGAACCGTCCGGTCACTGAGCGGCTGGGTGGGGCGGAAGTTGTCCCCCAACATCCCGTCGTTCCCTTCGAGAAGCTCCGCCCCTTTGATATGGGACCGTAACCTCCGAAACTCCTCGATCTGCAAGACAAGTGAGAAGATTCAGAGGGTCACACTTTGTTTTTTTCTCACACTTCCTTGTTGATCATCACAGCTCTGAAGGACAAATGCTGACATTGTTAGAATAAAAGGCTTCCATTTTCTGTTTCAGTTTTCTGTTTCGGTTTGTTTTCATGGTTACAAAAGAAATTAAATCATTTAGTTATTTTCCAAAATATATAATTTTAGAGAAAACTGTTTAAACCATTTCTTCCATAATTTGAGGTTTGCTAAGAAGTAGAAAAGGTAAAAGATCTGGGTCAATAATGATTATACTATGAATAAAAGAGTGTAATAATACGTTTTTTTTTTCTCTTTCAGCTGCTTCCTTCATCGGGGGTTGCCACAATGCACTGACTCACACAGATATTTGGCAATTGTCTTCAAGCCAGATACCCTTTTTGACACTACTACTGACCACCTTGCTCAAGGGCAAATGTTGGTGGAAGCATCAACTTTCCCACCCACATTTTTAATGTAACCTTCAGTGGATTTGAATCGGCAACTTGCCGATTACAGACTCACCTTCTCTAACCTCTGCACCACCACTCCCCCAACTTAATATAAAAGTACACATACATCGTAAGAAATAAAACATGTCAACATCCACCCTACACACCCCTACTTCCCACAGCCTTGAATACAGAAATGTCAGACATATTTATTATTTTTTGAAGTTGAAAGTTGAAGTAGATACTAGGGTTTAAAAATACCTTTGTAGAAGTTGATGTATCAACTCCACGTTTTACTCAAGTAAAAGTGTAAAAGGACTGGTTTTAAAAGTGCACCAAAACCACAACTTCCCAAAAGACCTTGTTCAAAACACTGTATGAAAAGAGGATGAGGCTGCATGTTTGCTATGTCCTGATGGAGTGACATGATGTGTATCATGTGCAGGTGTGATGGATCATATGAACCGGAGGCACATATACAGTACTGTATCTGGAATTATTTTATTTTATTTTTTTCCTAAAATGACAAGCCAGAATGAAAGCAAACTGAAGTGAAATAGAAATATTTTGTTCTGCTCTTCGGAGGAGCAAGACGCTTTTTCCTTCTCTCCTGCCCTTCCTTGTCTTCCCTGCTTTGCTGCTTGGAGCCTTCTCCACGTTCTCATCCGAAACCATAAATTATGGATATTTTTATTTTTATGGATTTGGTTAGCTGGTCTCTTAATAAATTTTTTGGAACAAAGTTTTTTCTTCCATGGGAGGACACGTCAAAGATGGGACCTCTGTTCTGCTCTGTTCTGGATACATTTTTGGATTCCGATCACTGGATTCTACAGATTGCTTGGTGGTCTCCTGGTGTTCTACAAAACAGTGTCGGTGGCTGTTCATTTCCTAGCTGCCTGACCATTATGAAGGATTGCCATTCTATCTGCACTCAGACTTTTGACTTGAGCGAGCTGGACTCAGTCTGCAAGCGGTTCTGCTGAGGGTTGCAGGCCAGCTGTGGTCCCTGGACTAGCTGGCCAGATGGAATTGATCTTGGAGAAGCTGATAGCATGGCTCAGCAGAATTTGTCCACACTGTTTGTCTGAATTGGATTCGCCACCTTGAGTTGTACCAGCGGACATTATAGCAGATGGAAAATTGTTATCGTCTGCCTGACTCTTCTGTTCCCAAAACAACTGAATACAGATTTGTCTCTCACCTACAATGGCCTTGAGCTGTTGGACTAAATTCTTCCTGGATGCTGACATCGACTAAGGGTCTGCCCCACACCACACACACACACACACCTGTCTGTGATCTGGTTCGTGGAGCAAGCTGAAGGTCGCACAGAATGAGCACTTAAAATCTATATTCTGTACTATGGCTGCGCTAGTTTTGGGGACTGGATTCTTCGGGTTCATTCTTCAGATATTCACACAAGTGCTTACAACAATCATGGCTTCAGATACACGCCCCCCTAAACTCACTTACTCCTCTGCCTAATAAATGTGCTCTATGCAGAGTCTTTTTTATAAACACCATAGTGTGTCACATTGTTGATATAATATGATGTTTTGTTTTTTTCCTCATCTTCCCTTGTGGGGTTTTTAGTTTTTCTGTTAAAGGTAGCACAACTGTGTTTGCTGCATGACCGGTTTTGCCTGTTCCCCCATACAGTATTTGCTTTGTATGTCTTCTTGAATGGGTGTTTCTTAACTGCCCCCTCCCCTGATTGTACAGCACGTTGTGAATTCATTTCTGTGAAAGGCGCTACATAAGTAAAACTTTACTTTACTTTACTTTACTTTACTTTACTTTACTTTACTTTACTTCACTTTACTTTACTTTACTCTACTCCTGCCCCGCCCACCTGTCTTCTCAACAGGTGTTTGTTATTAGAGTTTGTTAGTGTCGTCTTCAAAAAATTTGTTCCTGTGACGCTATATAAATAAAACTTTACTTACTTACTTACTTAGAAATGAAATAATTCTTGCATTTTTAAAATGTAAGCAGTAGAAGTAAAAAGTTTTCTAAAAAAATAACTACTTCAGTAAAATGTAAGCAAAATTTCTATTTAAAGGCCATGACACACTATAACGTTTAAACAACTCATGCCAACTTGAGACTTTTTTTAATGTCTAAATTATTAATAAAATCATATTTGATCAATTTGTTAGCATTACAATGTGCAAGAGTGAGCTTAAGGTGAATTGAGCTTCTCCCACATCTCTCATACACAAGGTTATGAGGAAACTTTTACCAAGGTATTTCTCATTACTTGTTAATATTTTGACTGTGTGAAGTGAAAGTGACACAATAAGTGAACGTTCAAACGAGTTCAAGTTGATTCATAAAAGACTATGCAATCATTTATTTACACAAATTGAACAGATCATAAGTTACACTTGATTGTGGGTATTCCTATAACAAGTGTCAGAGTTAAATGAGATAAAACCCGCGTCCGAATTTCAATTCACATCAACTCAGATTACTTATATAGAACAGTAAAATGTCAGTTCTGATGTTAACAACCAAACAATTTTACTAGCACTTTTAGCTTAAGTTTTGGCAAATTAAGAACAAGGAAATGAGGAACGTAAGATTAGTATGTTACTACGACTTTTAATTTTTCTAAGTGTGGGTCAACCGGAACTGCACGTCTTTTCTAAGTTCAGGTTCCACATGACACGTCACTACGAACACATCAGCTTTTACCTGATGATGGCTTCTTAAGGCACCCTCGGGGTAGGAGCTGACTCGCCTCCGATCAGTCAGGGAACTGATGTCGGCTCGCTTATCGGTCATTGGCGAACAGGTGTTTTTCCAGGTAACTTGTGTCTGTTTCAGTCCAAGCCAGAAAAATTCAAGCCATATCCGGTTCCTCCTTCCAAAATAAAATCTCCCCTCGGGAGTTTAAAACACACTTAGAGGCTTGGCCTCGGGTTGGAAACACCGGCAGGCGTGCCGGGTCCCTGGCTGTGAAGTCTTCCCTAATTAGCTCATGGGATCAGACTTAAAGCCAAACTGAGGTTTCTCCAGAGAGAATCCCAGCTGTCTTCCTAGATTAGAATCAGGAAGAAGAGTGTGTTGCTCAAAGCCGTCCGGGTTAGTAAAAGAAACGGACGAACTTTGGTTCCACCCTCAGGCTTAGAGATGAGTCAGAGAACGACAGATAAAGATTTGCCAGCCGGCGCAAGCCCAAGGTTAAAATTCTGTGGTTGTTCAACGACATGATATGATTGTCATGATCTGTGTTTATTTTCTTAGTTTCCTAGTGTTTTCAGGTTTCCCCTGTGTTTCTCATCCCAGCTGTCTCACATTTCCTTGATTGTCACCCTCGTGTTTCTCCCCAGGTGTGTTCTGTTTAGCAATTAGTTTTCTGAGTATTTAAGCCCTGTCTTGTCTTTGTCTGTCGTCGGATCATTTTGTTCTGTTGTGTCTTTCCTGGTTCCTCGTGCTTTGTTCCCCTCGTGTCTATCATCAACAATACCTGTAAGTTTAGCTGTCCTTACAGCATTTTTGTTACTTTAAAATAAATTTTTGTTGTCCTTTGTGAGCCTGCCTGCGCCCTGGGTCTGTCCTGCCTAAAATCCCTACAATGATAACCTCTTTTCAGCTTTCTTCTGATAGACTCTAAGAGAAATCACTGCAAAACATTCATGATGATTAATTAACATTTCTGTTTTATAATCAGCTTTGAACCATTCTGTCAGTCCAAATAAATGAAAGATTTTCTCAGGAAAAATCCACAATTATATTACTGTGTTCACAGTAAAATAAAACAGGGATTTACATAAAAACACAATGAAAACATTGTAATCAGATTCTCTGTGATTTTTTTTATACCATTATAAATCTTTAAGGCACAATAAAAGAAAAGAAGTGGTTCCACTTTTCCTGTGACAGTCATTATCATGATTTAACAAATGCATAAACATTCTTAGTTAAACAACAAATGAATCACGAACAGAAGAGATTGTTCTGTCCATTATCTGATTAAGAGAGCTGAGGGGTTCTCTTCCATGGTTAGAATGACCTGTCATGGCCTAAATAGAGTTCAGTTTGTGACAGAGTTCCTGTCTTCTTGTCAGGCCTGTCCGAGGCCTGCTTAGAGACAGAAAATCTTGTTTCTTCACTTGAGGTGACCCCTACAAATGTGTACACACCAAAAAGAGGCTTCCACTTGATTTTATAAATTCCATCTTCAACGTAGATGTCTTTTAAATTTTCATGAGTTGGCAAAAGCTGTCTAAAACGTGACAGTGTGACAGGGTCTTAAGTATTTGTTCTTCATCTCTGCTTAAATACAAGGAAGGTGTGTGATTTGTTGTTCTACCAAGCAGAACATTTGACCTAAAGAGCAGGCAGTCAGACAAACAACTTGTATTTTCTCATCACATTTGAAAAAACGGCTTCTGCCTTTTTCATTGTCAGGCCAAAATGTTAAAGTCAGAGTTAAAGTTGAGAAAATACAAAATCTGACTTCCCCTTCATGTAAAATTGCAGCCACTGCACATTGTACCACTGCACATTGTTTCCAAAACAAAAAAAACCCCTTCTTGATCTGATAACGGAGAGTTTTGTATCACCTCTCTTTTGCACAGTCACAGTGCGAAGGTTGTGGTGTACACACATGCTTCAAGAAGTCGATAATAGCCGGATATTTAATGTGTGTATTATACAAAAGCAGGACATGCTGTTATAAAATACTTCACCCTGACTAAACAAGTTTGCTTGTAACTTTTTGTCACATCTTTCTCTGCAACTTCCAAGAGTCTGAAGGTACACAGCTCAGGTGTCCGAATACTCAAACTGACAGGTTTCAGGGTTTGTGGAAGCTACAAGAAAGACATGAAGAAGCAGGTCATTTAACTGGTGCAACACAAAAGGAAGAGCAGCCTTTTAACAGAGGAAGTTGGCAACACAACTTAGTGGTTTGGTGGTTAGCACTGTTGCCTGACAACAGGACGGTCCTGGGTTCAATCTCCAGTTCAGACCTGGGGGTCTTTCTGTGTGGAGTTTGCATGTTCTCCTTGTGTTTGTGGAATCCCCAGGTACTCTGGTTTCCTCCCACAGTCTAAAAACATGCTGTCTTCAGGCCAGCCTTGTTACAGAGATCTGTTAAATAAGTTGCTTGGGGAGCAGCATCACTGATAGCCACCTGTTATTACACAAGTTTGCCACAAACAGGAAGTGCTCACCTCTGATGTTCTGTCTGGCTAAAGCACAAACAGCTAAAGAGGTCAAGTTAAATCCTGCAGCTATCCCTGCTGAGTGTTTACATCCTCTAAAGGGACAGCTCAAATCTTTAGAACTAAAAAAAAGAAAAAAAAACTTATGAACAGGTAATATCTTACCTGCCGTAGCCTTGGTCTGAAGTAACATGTCTGACAGGACTGACAAGTTAACACATAATTCTGCTTGGACTAGCCATTAGCTCGTCAATTCAGTCAGAATTCAATTTCATTTCCACACACTGAGGTTGTTTAAGCCTTCTGCTACCCTTGGGTCAAAACTATGACTGAGGCCTCAGGGGAAAATTCACCAAAGGACAACAGGAGCTTTCTACAACAGGTAAGATGTAAACTGCTCAGAACATTTGCTCAGAAAATAAAATCTCCATTATTACTTTTGAAGCTTTCTGTTTAAGTAGTAGTAAAATATTTTTAAAATATTTTTAATCTACTCCAAACTTTTATTTTTACTTTTGTTTCTTGTTGCTTTGTTCCGCATTCTTATTTTGAAACTCTAACATTCATCACGACCCACAAAATATTCTAAATCAAATACACGCCTCAGGATATTTCTGTATTTTTGGATTTGTCCACGTTAAACCAAAGTGATTTATCCTCATATTTCAAATTTTGTCCCGAGGCAGGACAGGCAGAATTCAGTCTTTGTTTTAGCCTTTTAAAGGGTCAGCGGACCAGAGAGCAGCCAAGATGAAAGACATAAATAAATGTCAGAAGGTTAACACCACCACCCATTACAACAATCTGCTGGAAAAAAGCCAACGATTCAAGAAAAGGTTGGATTACAGTTTAAATCAGTCAAAAGCAAGATGACAGACTTGCTGACTGGCTGCGGGTGTAAAGGCTGGCTGGAGTCTACTGCGGCCAGAAAACTGAGTTCATGTTCAGTCAGACATTACAGCTTTCATCATGAAGACTGCTAAGTCAAGAAGGGTCACAGAAAATAAGGAGATATGGTTAATACAAGGTATACACAAGTCATTTGTTCATTTTAACACACTGTTTTAGTAAAAAAAAAAGAATGTTTCTGAAAGCATCACATAACAATGAAACTTTGAAGTTGAACTCTGATACCTGACAGGCAGGTTTACATCACACAAAAACCAGGATGATGAAACCACAGTAACACAGGACAGCTATCAGTAAAAAAAAAACTTGTTAAACCTTTGAATTTACTGACTGGACTTGTTGGTTCATTCTCTCATTGTTTCATCAATTTCCCCATCAGTAATGAGGGCATTGCTTCGGTCCACCATGATAAAGAAAGAGTTGAGTTGAAAGGCAAAGTTCTTGATTTACTGCTCTATCTACATTTTCACCTTCACATGAGGTTTGGTTCAGGACCTAAAGAACAAGGTTCTGTAAATAAGCAGCTGAAATGAGCTTCATGGTGGCAGGCTCAGCCTCAGAGACAGGAGGGAGGAGCCCCATCATCTGTGAGGAGCTCGTGCTGCTGGGACTCATGACTCAGTTGAGGTGGTAAATAGACTATACTTTTAAAGCACCTTTCTGTCCAACCAGGATACTCAAAGTGCTTTACAACACAATCTGTGTCCTCATTTATCCATTCATACAGCACTCTACAACCTCCCAACAAAACTGGATAAATCATTCTAAAGAGACTAATCTGTGCTTTAGATCACATTCATTCACTAGCAGGACACATGTCATAGCCAGGGGGTTCAGTGTTTTTCCCAGGGATGTGTTGACATGTGATTGAATAGTGGTGGAATTGAACCCCAAACTCTTTAGAGGGGTTGTGTATTTTCTCTGCCCTAGAAACAGCAGGGTCAGGGAGAGGGATGTCTGGGTTCCTCTCCTGGACCTGTTGCCTTCACAACCTGACCACATGTGAGCTGTAGAAGGTGGGAATGAAGACAGAATGACTCTCGGTTGTTTGTGATTTGGCTTCCATTACTTGGCTTTTAAAAGGCTGTTTAAAAGATTAGGATCGTTGGTAAACGTCACACCTCTACAGTGCCCCGGTACGCTGGCAACCACAACCTTATCTCCGAAGATTTGTGTAAAGCTAAAAACCATCACAGACCAATGAGTTCAATGTGTTCCTACAAGCCTGAAAACCTGTCAATAAAACCTCTGCATTCTAGTATCTTTCTTTTAATATTTTTTTTACATCATACAGGTACTGTAGCATCACAATCTGTGTGATGTGAAATGATTTGTTTATTCTAATGCTGGCTTTCCAATACCCCCCACCTTGTATGTTTTACCTGCAGCTGTGAGATGGTGAGAGGATAACGGTAGAGAATCCAGGTGACACTTTCACTACAAGGTGGCGTAGTCAGAGATCCATCATACACCCAGTAGTCTCTCAGTAGAGGGTCTGAAGACAAAATTTAACAGAGTAAAAAACAGAATAGAAAAGTAGGATTTACTAACTGTACTGAACTAAAATCATAAAAACAATCTGGCTTCTCACACAAACTAATGCTTTTCTCTTCTCACAAATGAGGATAATTTTATTTATTCCTGTTGACGGGAAAAAAAACGGGGAATAAAGCGACGTCCTTAATGATAATTTGACAGCAGCACAACGTGTGCATTTTATTTAGAGGTTCGGCACTGGTCTTGGATGTTAAAACATCAAAAAATAGCAGAAGAACATATGAATAAATGACCCTTTATTCCTTTTACTGTTTTTATTTTCTTATTTACACTCAGTCACTCCTGTCTGTTTGTTCTTGCAGGTTTTATTAAAGTTTAAGGACTGCTTTGGTTTGAAGCTTTATGTTCATGATGCATACAAATAAATCATAACCTTTTGATCTTACCAGGTAGGAGTGTGTTGGGGTTGAAACATGGGATGATCTTGCTCTTCCCCTAAAAGAAATGCATTAGTAAATTTATTGCAGACAGTGAAGATGATGCTGAGTGACGCTCCTCTTCTCACCTTGTACTGCAGGTCCTGCAGAACTTCAGTGATAGCCTTCAGACCCAGATGCTCTTTACCAATCTGATAGAGAAAAAACAAACGTGCGTATTTTGGGGTTTCAGTGCAGACTTATCATTGTTCATGTTGACTGTTTTTACAGCCGTGTTTTCAGCAGAGATACGTTTAGAAGTTCTGTTATCGCGCCGGGGTCAAAGCAGGAAGTACAGAGGCTGCAGAAAACAGGACGTGTGAGGTTCAACATTAATGAGGTCTCAGGAGTTTAGGAATGTTTGGGTTCAAAAGAAAAAAGAGAAGAATGGCCACCGTTTGGGAGTGTTTTCCTCAGCAGATATTATTCAGATCATCCTGGAGTTGAGTCATTGCTCTGATATGTTTGTCCTCCTGTGAATCAAAGGTTTCCCAGCAGGTCTGTTATTCTTCCTGGAAGTTACTGAGAAAAGAGGGAAGTTCACACATGTAGATTTCACTACTGTAAAACTAATCTAGAAGCAGCTTATGATGCCAAAAATAGTTTATGTACTTAGGTTATCTTCTAAAGACGTCTGTGTTTTAAAATGTGAGAAAGAGACGAAGCTCGTGTGAATCAAGGAGGATTCAGGAAGACATTTCATTTTTCAATTTATATTTCAGAGTTATGTTGTCAGTCACGGATTTAAAAAAATACTTTACTGCAGCTGCTTTAAAATTTCTCATCAGGTCATGAATTTGGGTTTGAAAATCATAATGTAAGAAACAAAATCGTCACTGTTTTTTTCCTAATTTTCCTCGGACAAGAGGGGAAAAAATTTTAATTAGGGTTTACAGAACCAAAATAAATAAATAAATAAATAAAGCACATTTTTGTACAGTTTTTAAAGTGAAATGTAAATCCATGGATCTGTGTTTGGTGACTCTGACTGGCTTTCTCAAGAACCAGGATGTGTGACACAAAAATTTGAATTTTGGAACAGAAATTGAATTATGAAACTGAAAGTGAAAGTAGTTGAACTGAATTTTAAATAAACCAAAATACAGTTTCAAAGCAAATTCAGGTACAAATTTTTAAATTCAGTTTCCATTTAGTAAAATTCATTTTCAAACCAATGCATTAAGTTTCAAATTATGCACATACAGATTCAATCTGAGCAATTCAAATGCAGTTTCTGCTGGCACAAGATTTATCCCATAGTATAAGGCTCATATGTGGCTCATAGGCTAATAGAACTTCAATTTGGGCTGTGACGGTCAGTTGTCATACATTTTCCACTTTTTTCAAAAATATGGCAACATGCTCCTCCTCCTCCGTCTCATGTCATCAATAACCGATGCGATGGGGTTACCCGACGTGTCAAAACTGGATGCAGATGGTGCCTGACCAAGTGTCAATATGTGACGAGTTGGGAGAGAGAATGTGTTGGTGCAGCAGAGTGGTTAGGGGAGTCATTCCTCTAATGAGAGAGTTGGCGGTTCGATACCCTGCAATTCCGCCACATGTTGAAGTGTCCCTGTGCAAGATGCTGAACCCCCACTGCCTCTGGTGTTCCATCAGTGAGTGTGTTTTAAAGCACTGTTTAGGCTGTTTGAATGGGTAAACGAGGACACAGACTGTATTGTAAAGTACTATGAGTATCCTGGTGGTGCTATATAAGTACAGTCCTTTTACCATCTAATGAAGTTCAAATTAAGTTTTAACACACTTGAAACTTTGTATTTACACTCTAGAACACATTATTTTACTGTTGCAGTGGTTTTCACATTTACGTAAGTTGGCCTGCCCCTTTAAAAACATACATTTTCACCATAACTATTCAAATGTCTGCTTTTGTGTCAACATATTTGTCATGTTCTCAAATTATTATGTTGAAAAACTGATGTATAATTTTAGAACATTTGTATTTTTACTGGAGTCCCTTATATTTCAGTTCCTCTGTGGATTTCTCCTGCTGTAGCTCTGCCCCTGCCCCACCCACCTGTCTTCTCAACAGGTGTTTGTTATTAGAGTTCGTTAGTGTTGTCTTTAAAAATTTGTCCCTGTGACTCAGCATTAAGGTTATACTCACACTCACTTGAACTTCCCTGAGCTTTGATCTGTTTCTTGTATTTTTTCCCCCAGGTTCTCATAAGTGGTATTAGACATCTCTTAAATCATTTTGAGTCCTGCTTGCACTCTGGGTTTTGAAGAYGTTCAAATTCTGACAAAAACTCACCAAAGCAACCTTTAATTTGATGACTCAGTTTGGTCTTTGGCTCATTCAGTGGATGTTTACCTGCACAAAAAGAGCTATGATGAGAACTCCATTCTTCTTCCCCAGAGCGTCCTCTAATGAGTTGAACAAAGTGCTGTTCCAGTGAATCAGATGGAGCTGCACATAAAAAACCACAACATAACACATGACTTGAGAAGTAAACGGATAGTAGGCACATTAGGAAATTGTTTACACTGGATGTGCTTCTTGATGCAGGCTCAAGATTATAAAACTGCAGCACTGATCACCGAACTACTGCCGCCCCAATAAATTACAAAGCATGGATGTCTGCCTCGTATCACGAAACAAACTGAAATGCACCTAATTTTTCACCACCACCATCAGAATCTTTAATATGCTCGAATATAAAGACTACAGTATCAGACATGTCAAACCTGTGCTGAATTATTCTACACTTACAGCAGAATATTTAAACCCAAGTTTATGATTTGTGAAACTTCAATAAATGCTGCTTTCAGCACATTTTATACATCTGGACCACACTAGACCTATTTTCAGAAATGCTAGCTTGTCAAATTAAGCTAGCTGTCACATTCCCACATGTTGCCCACACCTCTTCGCTCATCCCCACACCTGGTTGTGTCCCTTAATGGCACCGCCCACTTTGTTGGAATTCTTCAAATTTGTCTGGAGGCGGGCTTATGCTTTCACAGAGAGGGTTAGTGAGTTACACTTTAAAAAATAAGAAATTAAAAAATGCTATTGGTTTTAGGGGGAACTTAGGTCATTTTTAATTTGAAGGCAGCAGCAAATATCAAAAAATGTTGGAATACAGGAGACAAAAGGCTGTGAATAAAAGTGGTACAAATAAGAAACAGGTGGAGGAGCATTTTACAACTATTTAGGTTAACAGACAAAAAGTCAGTAAGTGGACTGGGTTTGCCAGACTTTAATGTAAGCAGATGTTCACCAATCTGCAAAAATCTGTGGTGCACCAAGTGTAAAATAAAATGTAAAAAAGTTACTAACACATTTTCATTATTTAGCTCCCTTTCTGAGTGTTAAAAAATTTCCACAAACTTTTTATTGTTATTTAATTCACTGTTCTTGCATTTTGCTAATTTTCACTAAATGCAGGGGCGGTTCTAGGGACGGGGCCACTTGGGGCATTAGCCCCTGCTGAAATCTGATTGACCCCCTGAGGTGACCCAATGAAATTCTTCATATGCTCCTGTGCTGTCACTCATCTGTCCTTTGCCTGAGAGCAATGAATGTGGGTGCAATTCCACGCCGAAAGACTAGAGGCACTGATGAGTCAAACAGTGAAGTCCAGCATGAATCAAGCTTAAAGAAGTCTTTTTCTCTTCTTTAACAGACTTGAACAATCCTGCAGAAAAGATCTTTCAACAATGGCTTCATTTTCTCACATGCTTTGAGAAGATTTTATCCGTGTACAGTAAAAATGCATGTAAAATCGATAAGGAGAATTTGAGCTTTTTTAATAACATTACATTACATTACAAGTGTTGGAACATATGTGACCGGTTAAATTTATACACCTTACTAAAACCAATGATTTCTGTGCAAGGATGTTGAACAAAGACTTGGCCCCTCTATGAATATTGTGGCCCCTTGATGGCCCCTTACTCAGAAAAGTCCTAGATCCGCCACTAACTAAATGTTAAATTTAAATGATGAAAAATAAATGTAATTATTAAATCCTAAATCTAAATGTGTAAATCTAAATGTAAAAGTTAAATCTTCAACTTTGTGACTGAACGTTGACGTTTGCATTAAATATTTCAGAATGGAACGCGGCCTTTGCCGTTGGTGCTCGGCTCATGTTATGACATCATCATCCTGAGACAAAAGCAACGGCAAACGCTTGAACACAGCTAATGCTTCCCTACAAGACACCAAACTTGCAGTAACGGACTGTGTATTAGCTGCACTTCAAAGTGGCTGGACCACAGGTACCATCCACATTGTTTTCTATTATATCATTTTGAATTTAGATTTTAAATACCAGCTTCAGCAGCGTTAGCGGCAGCTAGAGATGACAGGATGAGGACATCATCCTCGTTAGCTAACCCAATGAAAATAATGTAAACAATGAAAATGTGTTAATGACATTTTTAAGATTTTATTTTACACTTGGTGCCCCATGAAAATAACTGGGTCAAAAATAAGGGGACTGTGAAAATTTTAGAAAACGTTTTATATTCCATTATCAATAGCTCAAAATATTATCAAACGATTGCCACCAGTTTTGCCAAATGATTGAATCAGATGTGTAAGGGAAGAAGAAGCATTTAAAATTCCTGCTTAAAGGTTTGTTTGATTTTAAAAGAACGTAGTGTGTGATGTTTGAAGTGGTACTTAGGAAAAGTAAGGAAACATTTTGTGTTCAAGGACTCAACAAGTTACATTGTTATCAGTACCAGAAACATTTGAGCACCAGGTTGTTTTTGTTTTGCAGGTTGCACTCCCTGACTTCCCCCGTCCCCCATCCCTCGTCTGTGTTTGCTCTGAGTACCTCCATGGGGAAAGCCTTGAAGTTGACGGTGTGCTCTGATCCTCTCTGGTTCTCTTTGCCCCAGTGGAACCGGACCTCATGGAGCTCGTACTCATGATCGCTCGGCAGCGGCCCTCCAGTAACCACTGACACAGGAAACCGCACAAGAAAAATACACAGGAAACACAAAACAAAGTGATTGTGAAAGTGAGACAAAGTGGTCGTTTGCAGTGAAGCAGTTTTGATTTTGCTTTGTTAAGTTGAAGATATGTGGATTCTTCAACAATAAACTTGTAGGACCAACACTTCAAACTAAATATCCATTCATGTCCCCTGGGAGTCACCTGACTTGGACTTGAGAAGGATGCAGACAGTGTGTCCGTCGTTTATGACTTCACAGTCTCGACACACCACGTAGTTTGGTGATAAGCCCACGTCGAGCAGGGAGGGGTCATATTGAGCCTCCCTAGAGTTCAGATTTATTGGGGACTGGTACTCGCCGTTGGCTGCTGGGAAATGAAGTCCCCATTCTACACCTGTGGGTTCAAAGAGCAAACATGAAGGAACAGTTCTGCATCCTTTGCTTTTGCTGTCTGGTAACTATCCCACAAAGTATTGTGAGTTAAAACAAAACCTTTGCCTGGGAAACGCAAAAGAAAAAAGAATCCCCACATTCCTCATGGGCGCTGCAAGAACTGTTTTCGTTCCATGAGAATGATTTAGCTAATTATTAAATTCATAACATTGCTTAATCGAGTCGCCGCCTTTTCTTATTGAGAGGTAAAGCCAGCAGGAACCAGTTTATGGGAGATGCCATGTTGTATTTTTAGAAACAGAGGAAGGAAGTCCTGCCTGCTCCCCTGCACACAATTATGATGACCTTTCTATTATGCATGAAATAACAAATTACAAATTAACATATTAGGGGGAAAAATGAATATTTGAACATAGAGCAGCATGGTGAGAGCTCTGTGAATGAGTTAGTGTGTGTGTGTGTGTGTGTGTGTGTGTGTGTGTGTGTGTGTGTG